TATTAAAATTTTATGAGTTTAAAACATTGCTCCATTCTGATTGCCACTGAATTTGTAGATTAACCACTCTTTCATTAATTTCGACGATCTTTAAAATATCATTTAGAAATCGATACCCTGAACGACTCTTTCCTCTAACGAAAAAGTTCAACATATGCGTTCACAATACATTCAAAAATCATCGAAATCGATGAATGAGTAGTAAGGTAGTCAATTTACACTTTCACTCAATTGCCTTCGCTATTGTGCATAATGACAAAAGAAAAGCGAATTAAAAGGATACAGCAAGTTTCGGTTTTCCTGACGAAAGCATAATTGCCAAGACCTAAAAGTTTCACATGGTTACCACATTTCTGTTACTATTTTGTCCGTCGACTCGATGAAATGGTTCAACTAGCGAATCAGACGGGTTAGAAGATTTTTCGTATGTTTCCGAATCCGCCCAAACTCAACCAAAATTATCCGATTCGACTCGAAGTATCGACTACCTGCGAATTATTCGAATCATTTGGGCAAATTTTTATTTAAATAACAGGTAATAAACAATAATTAAAAATATAATTTTTATTTAAATAAAATTTAAATAGAATTAAATAAAATCATTTAAATGACGTCAAAAATAATCCATATTTTTGATTTTCAAGAAAATGTTTATTTCATATTTGAATTAAATGAAACAAAAATAATTTTTTAAAATTCTCATATCCGTTATGTTGAATATGAAAAAACCAAATGACAAAGCCAAATCACGCAAATAATATCGTTGCTTTTCATAAATATAATTTGTTAAGTGTTAACTCTCTTTTCGATAAATCTTCGTGATAGAAATATTGCATTTAAAAACAGTTACAAAAGTATAATAATAAATATTAAAACCAATATGAACCGTATTATTGACATGGACGTGCTACTCTATTATTTCATTCATTGTTACTGTTTCTATTTCTGTTCTTTATCACTGTATTATGAAATAATAGGAAAACTAAGATGAAGAAAAGGTATGCTGCGTATAAATATAACATAACATCACTTTTTCTACTTCTTTAAAACCATTTGTTTAAAATTCGGAAAATTAAGTATGATTCATAAAAATTTGACTATATCAATGGTTATAGCGAAAAATCAATTATTTTTTAATTAATAAAAGTTGAATTGCTTTCAAATATTTAATAAACAAACAAAATGAAAAAGAAAACATTTTAGAAATAAAAAAATTTGTGTTATTTATTTATTTGCTACACTTTTCTATAAAAAATTAATCAATATACATTTCAAGAAATAAAAAAATTTTTAAAATAATAAAAGGAATTAAAAAGAGTTATTTATTAAAAATCCTTTCCCTGATTTTAAATTTAAAATATTATGTTTTTTACATTTCCTGACGAATAGAACAGCATTAGATAAAATCCTCTTATTGTTAGAATATATTTTAGCAGATATGCTTTGAATAGGAAACCTAAAACCTATGTTCCTTTTAATATTTTGTTTTGGAATTCATCACACTGAGTCTGTCTTAAAATTCGGTCAATGACCAAAATACAAATCAGAAAAAGATATACAAGCGTGATGAAAAATACTGTAAAGTATAAATTCTTAATTATATTCTTACAACATAACAACGTTTTCATTTGTCATTTTTCGTGGGGATTTCAATTTAAAGAAACCGGATCTCAGTTTATTATGTATCGTTCCATTACAAACATAGCCGTCAGACTCAATTCAGATTTATATTTAGTTAACTAATTTATAATGTCACTTGCGCACTAATATATAACGCAATTTTAGATATGTTTCAACAATAAATTATATCGTACGTAAGTGCGTCTTAACAAATGTCATGAAAAAAAATATAAATTTCCATTAATAAAAACATAATAAAAAATGCATAATAAAACATAATAAAAAAAAAACATAATATTTCATTTCATTTGAAATTTATTATTCCATCACTCGAAAATATAAAATATAATTTGCACCATATAATGTATCCCTTTGTACCAAATTTGTAAAAATATTTCTTTAGTCGATTTTGCGAAATATAAGTATATGAGCATATATTTCGTACGTATGTCTATATTTTTCACTAAATCTTTATGAAATATTAAAAATTTATATTAAATAAATAACAAGTAATTAAATAAATGATTGTTATTATCATAATATTGATAAGCAAGGTAGTAGAAAAAGTAGTTTTATAGAAAAATTTCGAATAATATATTAATTAATAAGCATAATTTTTAACTCATTAATTACGGAATTTATGTTATTTGTCATAACCAGTGCACAGTACAATTATAATAAAATTGTAATAAAAATTTAACGTAAATTTGAATATATAATATGAGGAATATGTGAATGAGGAAATATAATAATTTTAATATTTTAATATTAATAATAATTTAAAATTATTGAAAATTTTGTTAGTTAAAATTTATACATAGAACCATGTATTAATAATTTTAAAATTTTAATTTACTATGTATTGAAAAAAGTTGTGATAAATCCTTAAAACATGGATAGATTTCTTTCGGATATAGAGTAGAATGATTTCGGTTACTTCGTCTATGCTTACTAGCTTCACAATTCGATATTGAAAGTTTGATAACACTGTAATGAGTTTCAAAATCATATTGCTGTTTCATTCACTAGTTCCCCAACTCACCGTTGTCTAAATGTAGAGTGCGCTAAAAAACCAGTGATTTTTTATTGTGTCGATATTTCAGGCTACGAAAGTTCGTAAGATGCAATGTCTATTCATATATCTCGTCTGTGTCTGCACTTACGTGAAAAAAAAGATACCGACAAATGGCGCAACCATGTCCATATCGAAACTCTCTGCACTATGTGAAAAAAAGCTACAACAGATGCCGCCACCATATTCATATCTGTAGCGACAGCTATCCCAGCGCCATCTGTCTCAAAAAAAGTGCGAAGAGTTCATTAGAGATAAAGTGAATCGACGCGTCGTCTTGTATGTGAATCTTAATCTCGATCCATCGTTTTGTTAATTGTTACAATAAAACTAATAGTAAAGCAATCGCCTTTCGCTTATTCTTTCCCGAATTAGTGCGGATTGCATTTTTCCTTTTGTAGTACGGTGAATTGTTAGTATTACCGACCTACATATCTGTAGCGACAGCTACGCCAGCGACATCTGTTTCTCGGCAATATCGAAGAG